TAAATCATGGAATACTATGCAGCCATAAAAAGGAAGGAGATCATGTCCTTTGCCAGGACATGGATGGAGCTAGAAGCCATTATCATCAGAAAACTGATGCAGGAACAGAAAACCAAACACTGTTATGTTCTCACTTCTAAGTGGGAGCTGAACAATGAGAACATTTGGACATAGGGAGGGGAACAACACATGTTGGGGCTTGTTGGGGGATGTGGGGGTAGAGAGAACATCAGGATAAATAGCTAATGGGTGTGGGACTTGATACCTAGGTGATGAGTTGATAGGTGCAACAAACCACCATGACACATGTTTACCTATGTAACAAACCTGCATGTCCTGCACAAGTATCCATGTATAGCAGAACTTAAACTAAAATTATGTGTATATATTGTAATTTATATTATAATAAAATTACATATATATTATAATTATATATATATATATATAAACAGGTTTATAGTAAAGAGTTTCCTTTCACCCTTGTTCCCCCTCTGACTAGACCTCCTACCAATTACTAGTTCTTTCTTGTGTCTCTTTCCAGAATCTCCTTATGATTATATAAAGAAATAGATTCATCGGTGTCTCTACAAAGAACATGAACTTGTCATTTTTTTATGCCTGCATAGTATTCCATGGTGTTGATGTGCCACATTTTCTTTGTCCAGTCTATCATTGATGGGCATTTGGGTTGGTTCCAAGTCTTTGCTATTGTAAACAGTGCCACAACAGACATACATGTGCATTTGTCTTTATAATAAAATGATTTATAATCCTTGGGGTATATACCCAGTAATGGGATTGCTGGGTCAAATGGAATTTCTATTTCTAGATCCTTGAGGAATCGCCACATTGTCTTCCATAATGGTTGAACTAATTTACACTACCACCAACAGTGTAAAAGTGTTCCTTTGTCTCCACATCCTCTCCAACATCTGTTGCCTCCAGATTTTTTAATGATCACCATTCTAACTGGCGTGAGATGTTATCTCAATGCAGTTTTGATTTGCATTTCTCTAATGATCAATTATGATGAGCATTTTTCATATGTTTGTTGGCTTCATATATGTCTTCTTTTGAAAAATGTCTGTTCATATCCTTCACCCACTTTTGAATAGGTTTCTTTGTTTTTTTCTTGTAAATAACCATCATTCTCAGCAAACTGACACAAGAACAGAAAACCAAACACCGCATATTTTCACTCATAGGTGGGTGATGAACAATGAGAACACTTGGGCACAGGGAAGGGAATAACACCCACAGGGCTAGGTCAGGGGTGTGGTGGAGGGGAGGGGAGGGAAGGGACAGTGTCAGGGAGCAGGGAGGATGGGGAGGGATAACATTGGGAGAAATGCCTGATGTAGGTGATGGGGTGGGGTGGGGGGAATGGAGATAGCAAACCACCATGGCATGTATGTACCTACGCAACAATCCTGCAGGATGCAGGAAGTGCACGTGTACCCCAGAGCCCAAAGTACAATTAAAACAAAACAAAGCAAGACAAAACAAGAAATATATGTGTTTTTATTTTTCTGCAAATATTACATGCAATAAACACTGTTCCTCACCTTGCTTTTTCACTTAACAAAGTATCTGGGGGAATTTTCTATATAAAATATATAGAGAACTATTCTCATTTCTTTGTGCCACTCTACAGTAATCTATATGAATATACTACAATTTATTTAACCAGTTCACTATTGATGGACATTTGAATATTTTCCTCCATATTTTGCCCTTTGAATAACTATGTGATGAAGAACATCGCAAATGAGCCATTTTATATTTTTAAAAGGTTCCATAGTACTCCTGTTGAGTGATATGCTGCAATTCATTTAACAAATCTACTAAGGATGAATATTTAGGTTGTTTCTGGGCTTCTCTTATGATAAATAATGTATTGTGAACATTCTTTACCATAAGCCCTTGTGCTCACTTTTGATCTTTAAGGGAAATGTTATGAAGATCCTTGAGACTTTGAATACATACTGCACACCTACCTCCAGGAAAAGCAGTGACAGTTGCTGGTGGCTGGGTCTGAGAAGGCTGATGTCTGGTAAAAGTTCCCAAAAGGACCTTCTTGGGAGATGGCAGCTGGAGGTGCATGAAAGGAATGAGGAAGGGTAGCTCAAGCCACAGGTTAGGAGAAACCAGAGCTGGAAAGTCCTTCAGACATCATTACCAAGAAAGTGGTTACCATGCTTAGTGAGACGAAAAGCCTTGCCTGAGCTCATATTGGCTGGAGCTGGGACTGAGTCTTATGACTTCTGAGTCACTGCTCAGGCCATAGCTCAGTGATTGGGGCATGAGCTCTGAACCCAGACCACCTGGTTTTGAATTCTCTTAAATCTTTACTAGCTTTGTGCTTTGGCACATGGTATCATATCTCTTTCAGGCTCTCTTTGCTAGCTTCATGCTTTGGCACATGGTACCATACCTCTTTCAGGCTTATATTCCTTATCTGTTAAATAGAACACACTCCATTTAATTGTTGTAAGAAATTAAAGTAAATAATCTGGTATAGGACAGTGGCCAGCACACATTTAATATATTTTTTAATGTTATTAAATCTATCTGTCATCATTATCATTATCAATTTATTCCTGGTGTCTCTGAGTTAATGCAAATAAAAATGAGCAACATGGGAGTTACTTTCTAGGTACCAAGTCAGACTCAGGCTGCTGATTTGATGGCTGTAGGGATGTCCTAATATCTCCAAAGATCTAAGCACTTATTCTGCTGTAGGCCTCTTCTCCAAGCCTTGAAGTTCTGGAGGCAGAGGTCTTGGGGATGAGCAGGGGGAAAGATAGTTTCCATCCATTTCTTTTTTTATTAATACAAATATTCATACATATTTATGGGATACATATGATAGTTTATTACAGTTTGTCATAGATACTGCATAATGATCAAGTCAGGGTATTTGGGGCGTCCATCACCTCGGAGATTTATCATCTCTATGTGATTGTGATGGAAATATTTCAAGCCCTCTCTTCTAGTTATATTGAAATATATGATACACTGTTGTTAACTATAGTCACCCTACTCTGCTATCAAACATTAGAACTTATCCCTTCCATCTAACATCTAACTGTATGTTTGTACCCATTTGCCAACCTCTCTTTATCCCTCCCCCAATGCCTTTCCTGATATCTCCATTTCTTCTTTGCTTATCTTCTAGAAGGTTGTACCACTTTGACTAATTAAAGGTACACTTCACTTTGTGAAACCCCAATGGTCTCCTGGTAGTGCAGGGCTTTCTCACTGCTGGTGTAATCTGGTCCACTAATCTGGTCCACTAATTCAGCAAATATGTATTAGTACTAAGGGTCCACTATATGTAAGATGTTAAGGATTCAATGTTGAAAAAACATTTGACAATTGCTTAAACAAAGCTCAGTGTGTAGCAGGGGTGTATCAGTCAGTTATTGCAGTATAACAAACAACTCTAACATTTTAGTAGCATGCAGCAATAAGCTTGATTTTGCTCATGCCTCTGTGGTTGGCTAGGGTGTGACTGATATTGCTGGGCTCAGTGGGGCATTCTAAATTGCAGGGTGAGTCTGGGCCTAATCCACATGACTCTTGTTCTCTTGTGCCAGAGGACTAGCTGGGCATGTGCTTCTCATGGTGATGGCAGAAGCACAAAAGGCCTCTTAAGCTCTAGATTCAGAAGTGGCACACCATCACTTCCACCCATATTCCATCAGCGAAAGCAACTCATATGGCTGAGATCAAAGTTAGGGGGTGGAGGTTGCAAAACCACACAGCAAAAGGTGCAGGCACAGGGAAGGATCAAGAATTGGGGACAATTTTCCAGTCTGTCACAGAGGAAGACAGACATTAATCCACTCGTCCCACAACAATGTAATTATAAGCTATGACTCATTCTGTGAAGGAAAATTCCTGAGTATGATAGGGAGAACTGACCTGGTTAGAGGCACTAGGGACAAGTTTCCTGAAGAAATGATGTTTAGGATGAGAGCTCAGGGATGACAGGGAAGACATCCAGGAAGAGGAAACAGCACATGTGAATTTCCCAGGTCAGGTAGAAGCTCATGTTCTGAGTAAGGGAGAGGGAGTGAGATGAGGTTGGAGAAGTGGGCAGAGACCATATAGAAACTCTTGTATTCATCCATTTTTGCACTGCTATAAAGAAATACCTGAAACTGGATAATTTATAAAGCAAAGAGGTTTAATTGGCACACAGTACTGCTGGCTGTACAGGAAGCATGGCTGGGGAGGCCTCAGAAAAGTTACAATCAAGGTGGAAGGCAAAGGGGAAGCAAGCACGTCTTACAGGGCCAGATCAGGAGGAATAGAGAGAAGGAGGAGGTGCCACACACTTTTAAACAACCAGATCTTGTGAGCACTCACTCACTGTCATGAGAACACCACGGAGAAATAAATCTGCTCCCATGACCCAATCACCAGTCCTACCTCCAAACAGGCATTATATTTCAAGATGAGATTTGGGCAGGGACACTAATCCAAACCATATCACCCCTGAAATCCCTGCCAAGGATTTTGATCTTGGTCCTAAGAGCAGCTATTGTCTTGAAAATAAAGATCACTGACTCCTTGTTTGTTCCTTTGCTAGGAGCATGCCCACCCTTATCCTTGCACAGTCCTGTTCATCCTTCAGGGCACATCAGGAATATCACCTTCAGTAGCATTTTAGCTTCTCTGGTGTTATGGACTGAGTGTTTATGTCCAACCCTTATCCTTGCATAGTCCTGTTCATTCTTCAGGGTGCATCAGGAATATCACCTTCAGAAGCATTTTAGGTTCTCTGGTGTTATGGACTGAGTGTTTATTTCCCCCTCAAATTCATATGTTGAAATCCTAATGCCTAATACGATGGTATTTAGGAGGCAGGGCCTTCGAGAGGCAATTAGGTTTTGAGGCTTGAGACCCCATGAATGGGAATAATGTCCTTATAAAAAGGGCTCCAGAAAGCTCTCCTGTGCCCTCTTTTCACTGTGTGAGGATAAAACAAGAAGTTAGCAGTCTGCAAGCTAAAAAGGCCTCATCCCTATCTGACGTTACTAGCATCTTGATCTTGGACTTCCAACCACCAGAATTGTGATAAATAAATTTATGTTGCTTACAATCCACCAAGTCTGTCACAGTCATACCTCATTTTATTGCATGTCACTTTATTGCACTTCACAGATATCGCACTTTCTACAAACTTAAGGTTTGTGGCAACCCTTGTGAGCATCAAGCAAATCTATCAGTCCCATTTTCCCAATAGCATGTGTTCACTTTGTGTCTCTGTGTAAAATTTTGGTAATTCTTGCAATATTTCAAGATTTCTTATTAAATATATAAAATGGTGATCTATAATCAGTGATCTTTGATAAAACTGTTGTAATTGTTTTTGGGCACTGTTAACCTCACCCATATAATAAGGCAAACTTAATCAAAAAAAGTTGTGTGTGTTCTGACTCCCATCACCCAATCATTCTCTGGTCTCTCCCCTCCTTCTCAGCTCTTCGTATTCCCTGAGACAAAAAAATATTGAAATTAGGCCAATTAATAACCTCACAATGGCCTCTAAGTGTTCAAATAAAAAAAAGAGTTGCATATCTGTCACTTCAAATCAAAAGCTAGCAATAATTAAGCTTAGAAGGCATGTCAAAAGCCAAGACAGGCCAGAATCTAGGCCTCTTGAGGCAAACAGTTAGCTAAGTTGTGAATGCAAACACAAGGCTCTTGAAGGAAATAAAAAGTTCTACTCCAGTGAGCACACAAATGATAAGAAAGTGAAACGGCGTTATTGCTGATTTGAAGAAAATTTTAGTAGTCTGGATAGAATATCAAACAGCCACAACATTCTCTTAAGCCAAAGCCTAACCCAGAGCAAGGCTCTAACTCTCTTCCACTCTACCAAGGCTGAGAGAGATGAAGAGGCTACAGAAGATAGGTTTGAAGCTAGCAGAAGTTAGTTCTTAAGGTTTAGGGAGAGAAGCCATCGCCATAACATAAAAGTGCGAGATGAAGCAGCAAGTGCTGATGGAGAAGCTGTAGCAAGTTACACAGAAGCTCTAGCTAAGATCATCGATGAAGGTGGCCACACTAAACAATAGGTTTTCAATGTAGATGAAACAGCCTTCTATTTGAAGAAGATGCCATATAAGTGACTAATAGCTAGAAAGGAGAAGTCAATGCCTGGCTTCACAGCTTCAAAGAACAGGCTGACTTTCTTGTTAGGGGCTAATGCAGCTGGTAACTTTAAGTTGAAGCCAAAGCTCATTTATCATTCCAAAAATCCTAGGTCTCTTGAGAATTAATACTAAATCACTCTGCCTTCGCTCTTTACATGGAACAACAAAACCTGGATGACAGCATATCTGTTTACATCCAGGCTTACTGAATATTTTAAGCCCATTGTTGAGACCTACTGCTAAAAACATTCCTTTCAAAATATTACTGCTCATTGACAGTGAACTTGGTCACCCGAAAGCTCTGGTAGAAATGCACAAAGAGATTAATGCTGTTTTCATGCCTGCTTACATAGCATCTACTTTGCAGCCCATGGACCAAGATTTCCAAGTCTTATTATTTAAGAAATACATTTTATAAGACTATGGTTGTCATAGATAGTGCTCCCTCTGATGTGTCTTGGCAAAGTCAATTGAAAACCTTCCGGAAAGTATTCATCATTCTTTTTTTTTTTTTTTTTTTTGAGACAGAGTCTCACTCTGCTGCTTAGGCTGGAGTACAGTGGCACCATCTCAACTTACTGCAACCTCCGCCTCCTGGGTTCAAGCAATTCTCCAACCTCAGCCTTCTGAGTAGCTGGGATTACAGGTGTGCACCACCACAAGTGGCTAATTTTTGTATTTTTAGTAGAGACGGAGTTTCACCATGTTGGCCAGGCTGGTCTTGAACTCCCAATATCAAGTGATCTACCCTCTTTGGCCTCCCAAAGTGCTGGGATTATAGGCATGAGCCACCATGCCCGGCCAGGATTCATCATTCTAAATGGCATTAAGAACACTTGTGATTCATTTGAGAAGGTCAAATATCAACTTTAGGAGGAGCTTAGAAAAAGCTGATTTCATCCCACATGGATAATTTTGAGGGGTTCAAGATTTCAGTGGAGGAAATCACTGCAGATGTGGTGAAAATAGGGAGAACTAGAGTTGGAAGTGAAGGTTGCAGAGGTGACTGAATTGCTGTAATCTCACAATAAAACTTTAGAGGATGAAAAGATGCTTGTTATACACACCAAAGAAAGTGGTTTCTTGAAATGGAATCCACTCCTGGTAAGGATGCTGTTTATGTTGTTGAGATGACAACAAAGTATTTAGAATGTTCTATAAACTTAGTAGATAAAGCAGCTGGCAGGATTTGAGAGGACTGACTCTGATTTTGAAAGAAGTTCTACTGTAGGTAAAATGCTGTCAAGCAGCATCACATGCTACAGAGAAACCTTTCATGAAAGGAAGAGTCAATTTATATGACAAACATCATTGTCATCTTATTTAGAAAAATTGCCACAGTCATCTCAACCTTCAGCAACTATCATCCTGATCAATCAACAGCCATCAACATTAAGGCAAGACCCTCCACCAGCAAAAGGATTACTACTCACTGAAGGCTCATATGATTGTTAGCAATTTTTAGCAATAAAACATTTTAAAATTAAGGTGTGTACATTGTTTTTTAAAGGCATAATGGAATGGCACTCTTAATAGACTGCAGTATAGTGTAAACATAGCTTTTATATGCACTGGGAAACCAAAGAATCTCGTGTGACTTACTCTATTGCAGAATTTGTTTTATTGCAGTGGCCTGGAAATGAACCCACAATATCTCTGAGGTATGCCTGTACTTTGTTGTAGCCCAAACTGACTAAAATACCTGGGCTGCTAGATGCTGTCTCTCTGGCTTTCCCTGTGCTGGATAACAATGTCTTTTGTGACCATGCTGGGTTGTCTTCATTGCAGGGCTGTGTGCTTTTGGAAGGCTGAGATTACTCTTACTCTTCTCTGCCTCTCCGGTGGCTGGCAACAGACCTTGGCCCAGATCAGTCGTGCAGGAAATGGTTATTGTTTTGAAAATTAAATAAGATAATGAATGCAGAAGTGCTTTGTAAAATATGAAGGATCACCACGTTATTACCATTCATGTCATCTAAATGCTGCTGTTGCTGTCTTCCCTGGTGGGAGGAGTGATCTCACTTATAAGAGGGGGTCTAGCATGGTGGGTGACAGAGACTAGCAAACTAAAGCCCTCTCTGGGGCCAGGGAGGTAAAACAAATGAATAAACCAGGGCTTGTGTAAAGCAATTAGGAGTGGTGGGGACTGGGGCAGACTGTAATAGAGCAGCTTCTATTCAGCTCCAGCCAATTACATCTAGGCAGGAATGTGGGCTGTAAGCTAACAGATCTGATTATTTTCAAGAGAAGCTAAAAATCCAGATTGTACTTGGGGCAATAGACATTCTTAAACATGGCAATTTAATTAAAATTAAAAAAACCCACTATATAAGTCAAACGGAACATAGCTAGTGGCGATTTAGGCCTATGGTCTTGGGTTTGTGACCTCTGGAGTTAATAGAATGTGCCTTGTAGCTAGACAAAGGCAGGTCTAAATCCCAGCTTATTTTCTTTCCTGCTTTGTTACATCAGGAAGACAACCTGAGTTCTCTGATCTTCAGTTTCCTCTTTTCCGAGATGGAGACAATGATAGGATATACTTCACAGGGTTGCAGTGAAATGTATTTAGTATAGGACCTGATATATCATAAGCACTCCATAATGATCCACAGTAATCACTCAATAATGATGTACAGTAAGCACTCAATAAGCCCTCAGAATATCACTGTCACTGCCGATTATTGCTACTGTTATCTCCCACCAGGTAGCTTGGAGTATGGGTTTTGGGGCAGGAACAGTCCTGTGCAGCTGGGGAAGAGAAGTTGGTGGTTGTGGTTAAGTTGACTTAAAATTCACTGAAGGTTTTGGCACTGAGAATGAATGCCATTGGTAATGGCCATCTTAGAGGCTAAGGGAGAATAACATGAGAAGGGATCCCTGGTCAGGTGAATGAATGACCTGCCCTATCTGGAAGATCCAGGCAGCTGCTGAACAAGTGTGCAGGCCACTCATTCATTCACTCATTCATTATTTCCTGAGTCCCTGATAGATGCTACCTTGTAAGTAAAGTGCTAGGGTACCAACAGGAGCAAGAACAGTTCCTTCCCTAAAGAGCTCTCATCTAGGCAAAGAGTGGGGTAAGAGAATGAAAAAAAAGCAATATGGTCATCATATGCCTGCACCATTTACCAACTGTGTGATGTTGGGCAAGCTACTTGATCTTTATTAATATCATGTTTTCTAATCTGCATAATGGGGATCATTGAATCACTGGTCCATGGGTTTGTCGTGAGGAATTACTGGGTTAAAACAAACAAAAGTGCTTAGAGGTCCAGGGACAGTGTCCTAGAGGGATTGACAATTGAGCTGATGTCTTTTTTTTTTTTTTAAATATCTATATATTATATTGAATTTTAAGTTCTGGAGTACATGTAAAGAACATGCTGGATTTTTGCATAGGCACATACATGGCAATGTGGTTTGCTGCCTCCATCCCCATCGCCTATATCTGGCATTTCTCCCCATGTTACCCCTCCCCAACTCCCTACTCCCCACTGTCCCTCCCCTAGACCCCTCTACAGACCTGTGGGTGATGACTCCCTCCCTGTGGCCATGTGTTCTCATTGTTCAACACCCGCCTATGAGTGAGAACATGTGGTGTTTGATTTTCTCTTCTTGTGGCAGTTTGCTGAGAATGATGGTTTCCAGGTTCATCCATGTCCCTACAAATTACACTAACTCATTGTTTTTTATGGCTGCATAGTATTCCATGGCATATATGTGCCATACTTTCTCTGTCCAGCCTATCATCGATGAGCACTCGGGTTGGTTCCAAGTCTTTGCTATTGTAAACAGTGCTGCAATGAACATATGTGTGCAGGTGTCCTTATAATAGAACAATTTGTAATCCTTTGGATATATACCCAGTAATGGGATTGCTGGGTCAAATGGAATTTCTATTTCTAGGTCTTTGAGGAATCACCACACTGTCTTCCACAATGATTGAACTAATTTACACTCCCACCAAGAGTGTAAAAGTGTTCCTATTTCTCCACATCGTCTCCAACATCTGTTGTCTCCAGATTTTTTAATGACCGTCATTCTAACTGGTATGAGATGGTATCTCAATGTAGTTTTGATTTGCATTTCCCTAATGACCAGTGATGATGAGCATTTTTTTCATATGTTTGTTGGCTGCATATTTCTCTTCTTTTGAAAAGTGTCTGTTCATGTCCTTTGCCCACTTTTGAATGGGTTTGTTTGATTTTTTCTGTTTTAGTTCTTTGTAGATTCTGGATATAAGTCCTTTGTCAGATTGGTAGATTGCAAAATTTTTTTCCCATTCTGTTGGTTGCTGGTTCACTCTAATCATTGCTTCTTTTGCTGTGCAGAAGCTCTGGAGTTTAATTAGATCCCATTTGTCTGTTTTGGCTTTTGTTGCCAGTGCTTTTGGTGTTTTAGTCATGAAGTCCTTGCCTACGCCTATGTCCTAAATGGTTTTGCCTAGATTTTCTTCTAACATTTTTATGGTGTTATGTCTTATATTTAAGTTGTTAATCCATCTGGAGTTAATTTTAGTGTAAGGTGTCAGGAAGGGATCCAGTTTCTGCTTTCTGCACATGACTAGCCAGTTTTCCCAACACCATTTTTTAAAAAGAGAATCCTTTCTCCATTGTTTGTTTTTGTCATGTTTGTCAAAGATCAGATAATTGCATGTATGTTGTGTTGCCTCTGAGACCTCTGCTCTGTTCCATTGGTCTATATCTCTGTTTTGGTACCAGTACCATGCTGTTTTGATTACTGTAGCCTTGTAGTATAGTTTGAAGTCCGGTAGTGTGATGCCTCCAGCTTTGTTCTTTTTGCTTAGAATTGACTTGGCTATGTGGGCTCTCTTTTGGTTCCATATGAACATTAAAGTGGTTTTTTTTCCAGTTCTGTGAAGAAGGCCATTTGTAGCTTGATGGAGATAGCATTGAATCTATACATTACTTTGGGCAGTGTGGCCATTTTTACGATATTGATTCTTCCTAATCATGAGCATGGAATGTTTCTCCATCTGTTTGTGTCCTCTCTTATTTTCTTGAGCATTGGTTTGTAGTTCTCCTTGAAGAGGTCCTTTACATCCTTTGTCAGTTGTATTCCTAGGTATTTTATTCTCTTTGTAGCAATTGTGAATGGCAGTTTGTTCTTGATTTGGCTCTCTTTTAGTCTGTTATTGGTGTATAGGAATGCTTGTGACTTTTGCACAATGATTTTGTATCCTGAGACTTTGCTGAAGTTGCTTATCAGTTTAAGGAGATTTTGGGCTGAGATGATAGGGTCTTCTAAATTTACAATCATGTCATTTGCAATTACAGAAAATTTGACTTCCTCCTTTCCTAATTAAATACCTTTATTTGTTTTTCTTGCCTGACTGCTCTGGCTAGAACTTCCAATACTATATTGAATAGGAGTCGTGAGAGAAGGCATCCTTGTCTAGTGCCAGATTTCAAAGGGAATGCTTCCAGTTTTTGCCCCTTCAGTATTGGCTGTGGGTTTGTCATAAATAGCTTTTATTATTTTGAGATACGTTCCATCAATACCTAGTTTCTTGAGAGTTTTTAGCATAAAGGGCTGTTGAATTTTGTCAAAGGCCTTCTGTGCATCTATTGAGATAATCACATGGTTTTTGTCTTTGCTTCTGTTTATGTGGTGAATTTGATCATGATGGATAAGCTTTTTGATGTGCTGTTGCAATTTGTTTTCCAGTATTGTATTGAAGATTTTTGCATCTATGGTCATCATGGATATTGGCCTGAAGTTTTCTTTTCTTGTTGAGTCTCTGCCAGGTTTTGGTATCAGGATGATGTTGGTCTCATAAAATGATTTGGGAAGGATTCCCTCTTTTTGGATTGCTTGGAATAGTTTCAGAAGGTGTGGCACCAGTTCCTCTTTGTATGTCTAGTAGAATTCAGCTGTGAACCCATCTGGACCTGGACTTTTTTTGGGCGGTAGGCTGTTAATTGCTGCCTCAACTTCAGCCCTTGTTATTGGTCTATTCAGGGTTTCAACTTCTTCCTGGTTTAGGATTGGGAGGGTGCAAGTGTCCAGGAATTTATCCATTTCTTCCAGGCTTACTGGTTTATGTGCATAAAGTTGTTTGTAATAATCTCTGATGGTGGTTTGTATTTCTGTGGAATCTGTGGTAATATCCCCTTTATCATTTTTTATTGCATCTATTTGATTCTTCTCTCTTTTCTTTTTTATTAATCTGGCTAGTTGTCTGTCTATTTTGTTGATCTTTAAAAAAAAACCCAGCTCCTGGATTTATTGATTTTTTGAAGGATTTTTTTGTGTCTCTGTCTGCTTCAGTTCTGCTCTGATCTTACTTATTTCTTGTCTTCTGCTAGCTTTTGAGTTTTTTTTGATCTTGCTCCTCTAGCTCTTTCAATTTTGATCATAGGGTGTCAATTTTAGACCTTTCCTTGCTTCTCATGTGGGCATTTATTGCCATAAATTGTCCTGTAGACACTGCTTTAAATGTTTCCCAGAGATTCTGGTACATTGT